CAAATATATGACTACCGATAACTATTGACAATAAATAGTTGTAAAATATAATATGCGATAAATAGTCATTTGGACAATAATAGTGTACAACAATAATATAAACACCAATTGACACGAACAGGGGTATGAATATCGATACAATGAGTTTAATAGAAAATATCGACGATCTTGTAATGAAATACATATTGTCTATGAAAATTAAAATGTAACCTATCGTTAGTGTTGATGATAATGTTCCTAATATGATTTGATAACCTGCAATATGTAATATATTCACATCATGTACAATCACAAATATAGATGAAAACAGAACATATACATATCTTCTTGTATGCATCATATACGGTTCCAAGAGTATTCCGGTGCAGTAGAACGTGACAAAAGATATACAGAAACTTAACACTTCACTAATTAATATTACTAATGATGGTAACCTGTACTTCATAAAAAATGGATAAAGTTTTACGTTAATTATTGCAGATATTGCTATATTCATTATATCATATCAATAATCCCAAAACTGACAAGCTAGAGATTATGTAGCATTTCGTCTGATCTATTTACCCCATCGATGACATGATATATATAAATAAAATGTTGTATAATCAACCATAATATGTAATGATACCGATGTAATTCTGACACTAATACTAAAAGCATACGGTGTAGCAAGAACGGTGGTATCAGTATAATTATTGGTGATAGTCTGTACGGTAAATGCTTATTTGTAAATAAATCACAAAAATATATCAAAGCTTTTATCAGACGATCACGTTGGACTTGTTTATAAGATTCATTTTGTCTAAAATAATGATACTTGGTTTAATATCAATAACAATTATTTGATAATGCAAAAATGACAAGAAAGATTTATCAGCGCTATTATGCTGATCGATGTTCGTTTCATCGTTTGAGTTAGTTGTTGAGTCTAATGAAAACTGGCAACTTTTTTCGTTCTTTTTTGCAAGTTTCGTCAAGATTTTAACGACTGTTTGTTAAATCACTTTTGTTTACATTTGATAGATTAATACGTCTAAAAAGTCGTTGTTCTGCAATCTTCAAATGTCCGAAGAAAAAGCAAGCGTTGATAAAAAAATAAATTATCAACGTTGAGTAGTGAAATAGAAGGTGATGATAGCGATGACAGAGAAAATGACTCGAATATCGAAAGAAGGTACTTTCTGAGTCCGAGTTCTAGATATGTAAACTGTCCTTACTTTTATGCTACTAGAATCGAGAGAACAAGGCAAAAAACTCAACATTGATGGTTGTTCAACAGAGCTGGATGTGAGTGATGCCACAAATAGTGACTCAAATATTCGAATGACCCTTTTACTTAAATAATGAATGTGAATAAAAGAAAAATCCTTACTTCTATGTTAACAATCGATGATTATTTACAATACAATGAAATGTAAATGACGACAAAGAAAGAGTGAAACGAATATTTGAAAGAAGCTATTGCTATAATAAGGATACAAGGTAAAAGAAAGTGTCCTTGCATTTATGCAGGTAAATAGTGTGCTGCATGATCAACAGAATCATGCAATACAAAACAAATGTTCTCTCATTCAAGCTTGCAAGACAATGAGAAAAGGAAAAAAATTACTGTCGATGATTGTTATAATACAGATAGATGTGTTTAATGACTGAGATAGTGGCTTAAATAATACTGATGAGCTATTTCTAAAAACTGGATTGAACGTAGAAGAAATATTTCTAATTTCATGCTGACAAGAGAGTATCAAAAAGCAAAAAACAATCTATAACGATGATTGTCTAATAGAGATAGATATGAATGACGTTACACAGAATGGAGCTAATACTCAACAGACAAGATTACTGGTAAAAGGAATGTCTCTATTTTTATACGTGCAAATCGTGAAAAAAAGCAAAAAACCAACATCGATGATTGTTTTAATAGAGATGAATGTGAATGATGCCACAGATAGTGACTCAAATATTGGAAGGAAGCTATTGCTGTAATAAAGATAATAGATGAAAAAAACAGTGTCCTTATATTTATGCAAGCAAATAGTATACTACATGATCAACAGAATCATGCACTACAAAACAAATATCTTGGGATGTGGGTAAAGATGAGGTCTCTATTCTATTCACATCCACACTTTCAATATTCAATGTGTCACAATATTTTGTAGGAACGAATCAATTATGCGAGACTTGCTTCTGTGTAACGCGTATCTTAAACTTGCCGATATGGATGTGTGTGTGTCTCTTCTTAATCCCCATTCACACCCACATCTTGTCCATTGTTTTTCTTCAAATGAGCCTAGAATCTTTTTGATATGATGAAGAAATGAAAGAAAGAAAATAGTCTACTAATGCTGGCACGTCTCTCATCAAGTCAAATAGGATTATAATCCTTTGGAAGACATGTCGAATGGTTATATGAGAAATTGTTTCAGCTGTTTTTTTTTAGTATACTTCTTTCTCTTTTTCAAATCTATCTGTCATATGTAAAAGTAGTTTGATTCAAAGACAGAGACAAAAAATGTTCTTACCCGTACTATTATTCTTTATCTATTTACCACAATTACAGGCAACAATTCCCTATGATGGAATCATTCATCGATCAACTGATGGTAGTTCTTATGCATATCTCTCTCCACCAAGACCAGGAAATCATGCATCATTTATTGAACAGATGACACCAAGTGGTACACTAGCTGTTGCTTGGTTTACAGGTGGTGAAAATTCACCAAATTGTTCAATATCAGTATCACTTTTAGAAGTTGGATCACAACAATTTACTCCTGGTGTTATTGTAAGTGAACGTGTTAATTATTCAAATCAAAATCCAGTGCTTTTCTGGGATAATGAAACACAAATATTACATTTATATCATTCATCACAATTAGGTAATGCAGGTGAAACACATTCTGAAATATGGCATGTACAAAGCAAAGATCGAGGTATATGCATTCTACTAAGATATTGATTTTTTCCGAAACGGTGGTTTTAGTTGATTAGGTGCAATCTGGTCAACTCCTAAATCTTTCTATACAATACCAGGTGCTTTTGATCGTAATCGTATTATTTCGACGTGGAAAAACGATGGCATTATTTTTCCATGTTATAATACATCAACAAATTCGGGTTATTCATTTATACTTCGATCAAACTTTATCACTTCAACTTGGACACGTACTGATATTCCAACGACTACTAATCTTGTTCAACCGTCGATTGTTCGTTTGACTAACTCCACACAATTGCGAGCATTTTTTCGTGATCGAAATGCTATATCAATATATTATGCTGATAGTAATGATGATGGATTAACATGGACAACAGTAAAACCTACATGTTTGCCAAATAATAATGCAGGCATTGAAGCATATACATTAAAAGCTGGAACTTTAATTATGGCATTCAATAATCATAATGGAACATATCAACCAAGGTCACCATTAACAGTTGCACTTTCTTATGATAATGGATTAACATGGCCATATCAAAGAAATATTCAAATTCATGATGACGATAATAATACACAAATTGGAGAATATTCATATCCATCATTATTACAAAGTCTTTGGAGTGGAAGTGATGATAATGATATTCATTTAGTATACACATATGATAGAAAAACAATTAAATACGTTCGATTTAATGAAAAATGGATTAAAGAACAATGACAGTAATTTATCAACATTAGAACTGATAGAAATTTGATTTTTTTATGAGAAAATAAATCTATATAAATATCTTTCGATATATCCATTAAAAATAATCTTTGCTTCTCCTTACAGTTTTCAGTGTCAATTCACATAAACAAATCAAGTTATTCTGTTTTATCGAGTAACGTAGTAATAATAGCAGCTGTATAAGTCCAAGAGAAGCTAAAGTTATCTGATGCTAAAACTCTCAGATCTATAGCTTGTTCCAGAACCAAATGACAAAGTTGTCTTTGATGCGTACTTTCGAATTTTGTTCCAAACTTGTACCTATATCCGTCTCAAGTACAAATACTAGATCCGCTAAACCTACTCTAAAGTAGAATTTCATCAGCATATTTAGCTCTAAAATTCGTAAAATTTTTGATTTTGGTCAACACAATTTGACTGAGAAAAATGAATTGTTATAACTAATGTCAACACTACAAAACAGTAATTGTTTCCAGTAGAAAGGTCGCTTCTAAGATAAGTCTTCATTCTGATTATAAATATCTAATCACATTTTATATTTTGAAAGCAAAAGATATGGTAATTTTTTCTAGAAATTTCAAATTAGAATTGATTTATTCGCTTCAATAATAAAGTGCTGTTGATCTTTGTTAAGATTTCTTAGAGGATACAGGATAATTAGACGAAATTCTCTAGAACATTTTTAGTATTGAGTAGTGTCATTTTTATTTCTCTATGGAAAAGTATTTTCTTCACGAAAACCTTCGGCAAGTAATCAGAAGTAGAGAGTATTTATTTATTTATCCAAAGAATGAAACAACATATCTGTGATAAACAAAAAAGAACATTTGAAAAATGAACAAAAATATCGCGTAGAGAGTGTGAATATATGTGTGAGTATGAATTTATATTATCTTTAGTCTGATTGACGCTCACACCCACAAGATTTGCTGGCTTTATGTGCATGAAAGTGCTGTTCATGGGCGAATAAAAACTTGAAATTCGCCTTTACCCTCAGAAAAATCAGCCCATTTCATGGAAGTGCAGTGAAGGTATTCAAATTTTTCTTTGGCCAATGACTTTCTGGACACTCTCTATAGTCATCGTTATTTCTCTTAAAATGACACTCCAATGCATAATAAAGAAATTCAAAAAAAAATTCAAATAATAAAAATGACACTAAGATAAGATATCCATCAGCAATGAGTATAAACGATCGTATAACATAAAAATGAAGTGAAAAAAAGAGAAAAAACGAGACGAGCTTCAGTTGATTTATTACCCTCTAGCTCGTAAAATGCGAACAGCACTCTTATCAAAGAAATAGGTCTCTATAAATCGCAACAATTCACTCTCCAGTAGCAGTCCAAAATATATCTAATCTATAATCATTTGTCTTTAGACGTTTCAACTTGATAATATTTATGATGATTACCAGTAAGCTATTTCCAACCAATGGTTTTTACACTATAATATTCGAGACAACAGTCTTCACCCAGATGGAATCATATCGACTGCAGCAGGCAGAAGAACGCTGGAAAATGATGGAAGTTGCACGCTATATTTCAGATCGAAAAGTCTTCTGGTTTGACCGGCGACTTTTGAGGAAACTCTTGCTCGTATTGGCGAGGAACAGTCGAAAGTCATGAGACAAAATCGAATACTTTTTGATGGAAATGTCGTGCTGAAGTTCCATAAATTTTCGATATTTTCTTACTGGATACGATGATTTTTCTACATCTCTTCTGAACTAGTTTCGACAAAATCTGTCTGTTTCTGGATCTCTGGATCCTGAACATAAGGAACCAAAATACGCTTCTGCTTACCAATTCATATCGAACATTAATTTGACCTATGACCAAGTTTTTCATCTAAGTGATCTACGTGCCGTTCTAGCGAAAGGCAACATTTCGACATGTATTTTTAATGTGATTGAAAAATGTGTTGTGTTCTTTTGAGGAAATGAATTAAAGTGAATGAGCTCATCTCTGTCTTTACCACGTCATACTTTTTCAAAAGATCAGATGAATATATAGACTCAACATTCACCACCTTGAACAGGGTTTAGAACGAAACTTAATTCTATGACACGAATGGTCATGAGTCGACAGTTCTGACATCACATAGTGTAGAATATATAACTAACGGATTTGCCCCACACATTGATTGGACCATTTACGAAATTACTCAAGTGCTCTTAGAAAATTTCTGAATGAGAGAACAGACGAAGTAGGCATATGATCATTGATATCAAAAGTACATCTACTTTCTTGTGGGTTTGACATACTGTCGAATACGATGCAAAGAAAGAGAAAAGTGCCATTTTTTGCTTCCACTTTTCATCGTGGAATCGTTTGTTAAGAGTCGACAGGTTCAAAATAAGCACTGAAAAGAATATAGGGCGATGAGATTGACTAGCTTCCTGTCGTGCATCCAAGGAAGTTACAAAAAATAAGAAAAAAGACTTGCAATCACATCTCTCTAGTACTTAAAAAGCAAAGACACTTCTCTTTCCAAAACATTACAGCAGATCAACAGGCAATTACAGAAGAACTTGTAAAACATTTTAAAGATCAATCTAAAGTATTTGAAATTGATCCATCTAATCCTCACAATATCCAGATTGAGATGAAATACTAGGAGTTCCAGAACATATTAGACGCTTCAACTGAAACAGAACTACGTAGAAGCAATGCCTATAATGGCAATAACTGCAATCATTAAAAAGATGAAACGAATGAAATCATCGGAACTCAATCTGATGTCTAATCAAATGATTAAGTTACTTTAGGCTAAAGGGAACCATACAATCCCTTGAGAACAATCAAGATTTAGAATTTTTTATCCATCTACCAAGTCAAAAATACTTAGCTGTTAATGCCTTTACACTAGCTATATATTTTGATTATAAAATAACATTTAATTTTGTTTGGTATAAAGGTCGTTTAATCAAGCCGTACAGGTTAGGCATGTCATATAACCTATTAAAAATGATTAAGTGCCGACTAGGTAAACTGTACGACTTACATATCCCATATATTTAATATACAAGTTGGCCTTTTCCAAGGAAGTAGTTTAAGCTTGGTTTATCCTTGTAGATATCATAATGATTTAATATCTTATTCAAGAGCATACTCAGGTCATCTGCTGCAGATGCACTGAATCTACTTATTTGAACTACTTCCATAAGCCATTTCTTTTCCTAGTTAAGTATTTAGAAATTGAAGGTAGTAGAGTGCACGATAGGATTACAAACTATTCGAGACGTTGGACACAACCAATAAATGTACACAACATCCTAGCAGATAGTTTTTTTTTGTCACAAATAAAAAGCTCATAGTTAACATTTACGCATTAAGCTATTCAAAGATTAATTGGCAAGATGTCTCTTGGCCTTTGCTTGTCTCTACTTTATCTAGACTCTCATCTCGTTACCCTGCTTTATCCAATGCAGCAAGAAACACTTAAAAAAAGGTTAAAGCAAACATTCTTCTAGTTTATCATATTCTATTCATAGATGTGATGGTTTTGTCTTATTTACTTCTGAAGACCCTTCTGAAAACTTTGTTATATGATATATTTCAAACCGATTATAAAAATATGTACCTGTTCGATTTAGACACTTCGTTATTTATAGAAGAGATATTATTTGTAGATGATTATCATAAGTAGGCCAGAGACAGTATTGCTAACTTCTTTCCGATGAAGCGCGTTAATAGATTAAAGGCTAAAAATCGTTCTTTACTCCTAATTCGGTTAGAATTCGTTAATTAACTGTCAAGATTTCTCCATGCATTTATATCTTTTCCTCGTGGTATTGCTCTTCAGTAACCAGCAAAGTAAGTTAGTATAGAATACTTAAATGACTTTGTGATCCTCCTTCCGAGCTCTTCCTTACCCATTCGACCTAGGTTTTTTATTATGCCTCATCATTTACATTGTTTGTCCTCTTTGCATTTCTTTTCTATTGCCATTCTTGCAATTCTTCATAATGTTAATTGTAAGCACGTCCGATTGTTATAATAAAAAAAGAGCAAAAACGAAAGTTGAGCATCAACGCTACACATATGTAATATAAGAAAATATTGCCAAAACTGCATTGAGCAGCTCATTACGGAGCAGAAGTTAAGTTCCACTTGTACACTATTTATGTCACCCTTTAATCTTCCGATTCTCCTTCCATATTTCTATTTTTTCGTCTACTGCTGTCACCATCATAATAACACAGTACGGAATAAAGAAATAGAATTGTAGTCAGTTATATTCGTAGTATATATTTTCATTTCCAATGACACTATTGTTTTCACTTTCTCGAAAAATCGATATCAGGTGACGATTGAGCTATATCAAAGACTGTTGATCTCGAATATATAGAAGTATATACGTACCTTTCAGCCCTCAACAATCATGCTTACTTTTCTAGTACATTTTCTCTTGTTACTTGTTATTCTGATGATTAGTGAGCTTGTCGATAGTGGTCGCACAGATTGGTCAATCGAGAAGAATGCATCTTTCTGGCGTGACCAAGCGCGTGTGTCCATTGAACAAGCACTTGGACGAAAGGAAAATACACGAGTGGCGAAAAACGTCATTCTCTTTCTCGGTGATGGAATGGGTGTTTCGACAGTAACAGCTGGAAGAATACGCAAAGGCCAAATCAAGGGTCAATTGGGTGAAGATTGTATTACTGAAATGGAACAGTTTGCTTATTTGGGTTTATCGAAAACGTCAGCTTTCAAATTCGATTTCAAATTTTTCATTCATTTTCAATGAAACGTATTTCTTGTCTATCTAGATATAACATTGATTATCAAACACCAGATTCAGCAGCGACAGCAACCGCTTATTTGTGTGGTGTTAAAGCACAGTTGGGCACAATTGGAGTTGATGGACGAGCAAAACGAGGCGATTGTCTCAGTTCAAGTGATGCACATGTTGACAGTATTTTGGATTGGGCACAGAAACGAGGTGAGTTCTTTTGATCTGACAATTCTATAGATATTTGTCTTGCT